CCATGGCCCCACCTTTCAATCGCGTAACGGTTGTACTCCCCGCCCTCTGGGAACTGTGCAAGACTGCATGGAAGTTGGAAACAAACAATCTGTCCACGCCGTCCGGTTATGGGGTATTGAAAGAGATGCATGATCGGTGGGCAGAGAGAAACAAGATATATATACCAAAAAAACTTCCGATGCCATTATACCAGACGCTGTCTACGTTGAGCGCTGAAGCAAAAACTTCCAGCGTCCATGATCAACTCTATGGTTTCTTTGGAATGAATCAAGATGACCGAATTCGTCTGAAGCCGTCCTATGAGATTTCTTTGCAGGCCGCCCTGGTCGCAACCGCACGCTCCATCATCGAGGGTACTAAAAGCTTGGATATCTTCGAGACTCTACCACGATTGTCGACAACGAAGACTACACCATCTTGGGTTCCCGACTTTACCGCACACCGTCTCGTCGTCCCTTTCTTGCCGTTACATGCGCTATGTAGCTCCAACGCACAAACTAAAATGTATTCATGGAACGGGAAATGCGATGAGCGTACTCTGTGGGTACATGGTCGGGTCGTTGCTACCGTAGGCGTAGAAGTCGAACACGAAATCTCAACGTCGGAAGAAGACCTCAACACAGCATATGTTCATTTGCTGCCGCGAATAATAAACGCCTGGACGACTTCTCGGTTTTACGATCCAGACGTACCTTTAACAGTGCTTGAGTCTATACTACCGGCGCTTCTTGCGGAAGGGCATTGTGGACCCTGCACGTACGAGCCGGAGGATAGCGTTGAATATGCCGGCTCACTTCAGACCACATATTGGTGGTTTGCAATGAGCAGATTGAAAGACCCCATATGTCTGCCTAAAAGCGAGTGTGTGTTCCGGCTTCCCAACATGGAAAAGCGTACCATAACCGAATACATCAGATCGGTCATGCATAACCGACAATTATATATTACACAAGATGGACGTCTCGCGACAGGAAGCGGGCTTCGAGAAGGCGACTTCATCTGCGTTCTGCATGGCTGCTCGCATCCAGTAGCGCTTCGACACGTGCCTAAGAAGAACGCGTATGAGGTTGTCAGCACTTGCTATCTGGAAGACTGGATGGATCCGTGGAATACAGGGGCAGTGAACTGGAAAGAAGACGAAGCCCAGGAGTTTGTATTGATTTGATAAACGCTTTTTGGGAGTCTAAGTGACGTCTCGTGGTCCTCACACGTTGATCTGGTACCTGGGTACATATATAGTGGCTAACAAGGTGTTCAAAAGCCGGTACCGCGCGGTTTCAACCTCTGTGTATCAAGTGTTGCTGTTCAGTTCCCGAAGATGCCTTCCACATGGGGTGATGCTGCGTGGCGAGTCGGGCCTTCTTTGTTTACTAGCTTCTAGCGCGTCATGGCGCACGTGCAGACGCGTCACGGACTCACCAACCGCCTCACCCATCTGGCCGCATGATACTAAATGACGGCACCATGCCATTTGCATCCAAATTACATCAGTCGCGGCCTATTCTTGCTCTCCTCCAATTCCACCCCCACTTCCTCAACACTGCAGCTGCACACATGCCGAGTACGCCATCGACCAGCCCAATCGAGGTGAATATCCAGCCGTCTCCTATGGCATCTCTGAGTGGCTGGAGTATCGCGACTGCGACGGCCGACAGGGTACACCGGACGATGTTGTTCGAGGCCGCCGCAGTACCGGCTTTGTCAGGAAAGATGTCTACCATCAAAGCGCTGTACAGCTGCAATACGATGGTACATCTAGCACCAACAAAGAATTGCAAGATAAGCGGTATGCTGGCATGAGCACCACGCTCAATCGCCCAGCCATAGCCAATGAGAGTGCCGACGGAAAGCACATGCAACGTATACGAGCCACGGGAACGAGCGACCTCAATGGGGAAATTTCGAAGATCGTCCCCAGATACACGGTCTACTGGGAGACCATGTGATCCGGCCGTCTCTTTGTAGTTGAAATCCATGAGACGACCAGCAACGAAGCCGCCTACGATGACCCCTGCGCCTCCGGATAAGAAGCATAGACTGACGGCTAATGGGTTGTAACCGTATCGTTGACCGTAGATCAGTGGTATAGAGGCCTGGATACAGTACCACACAGCGTATGGGGAGCCTGCTGACCAGAGGATGAGGAACGTGTCAGCGTAGAAAATGAGACGCACCGAGGAGAACGGATTTGGAAAGCTCCAAACGCCTTTACCACTCTTCTCGGAGTGTACGTTACTGGAGCACTCGTGGTCGTTCTGTCTTTCTCGTCTTCCGCTGGACCTGACGACAGACCACCATGTCTTCCACAAGGCGCGAGGACAAACCTCTCCATTGCCAACAATCTTTCTTCCGGTTTCGGGCATAGTCCATCCGATCAGCATCAAAGAAGATGCGCCAAAGATGACGAGCGTCCAGAAAGCCCACTGCGTTTGCCCCGTAGCTAAGACGATACCGCCACCGATGATAGGTCCGAAACATGGTCCGAAGTTCGTAGCGGCAAGCATGGGTCCGAGGATTCTGCCTCGCTCTGCAGGCAAAGAGATATCGGCGACGACCGCATAAGCCAGCGACATCACTGCCGAACCTCCAATGCTCTGCAAGGACCGAAGGACTAGTAGTGCGACGTAGCTGTTCTCATTGAAAACCAGGCCCAGGCTTGCTGCGAGATATATCGCAAAGGTCATCAAGAAGACTGGGCGGCGACCAAGTGTATCCGACAATGGACCAAAGAAAGCTGGTGAGATTGCCTGGAAGACGAGATAAAGCGTTATGGTCAGATCGATCTCGAATATGGACGCATTGTACCGCCTGCTCAAGGTTTCGATGAGCGGCAGGTAGATCGTAGCTGTCAAAGATGAAGCGAGCGTCAAGTAGCCGAGGAGGTAGGTGAAGTAAGTGCGCTGACGGCTAGTGAAGATGGTGAACGGTGGCGCTGATACTGCATCCGGTTCGCCCATCTCGACGCGTGTTTTTGCTGTCGTTATTGCTAAGATTCAAGGACGGAGAGTGGTGGTTTGTTCGGTTAGAGTGCCATATCGCTAGGCTCATGCACTCAAGTGGCACTGTGATAAGCAAGGGTCAAGTTCGCTGTTGGATGTTACACCAACGATGACTCCCGTATTGGCACTCGCCACATCTTGTACACTTGAACTATCGGTTTCCGCGTCGTTTTGCTGCTGGCTATCACCGGTTTTGCATGCGCATTGTTGCTTGGGTGATGGCTGATACAGAGGTCGTGCGCATCAAGACCATCGTGCCCCGCACGGTGATCTCATACGTTGATCCCCGCGTCGCAGCATGTGAGTTGACTTGGCGTTTGAACTCTTTGGCGTTGCTAACACGAGTATCAGTGCTTCCTACTGGGTCTAAGATCGAAAGAATCTCACCTCATGGCTTCTCAAATTGGAATCAAACTGCTCGAATCCACACACTGAACACAATCGGCGAAGCAGTCTCATACTTTCTGAAGGTCGGTAACCTATTGCATGGTAATTCTTGCTAAGCCTAACCGCCATCCAGGTCTCCTGTGGCGATGTAGGTAAGGGTATGATGCTTGGGGAGTTTACTTCAATGTCAGCCCTTTACGAAAACATGCCAGATCTCGTCCCGCAGCCGATCGGCTGGGGTGGTTACGCAAAAGATGCTAACACTTACTTCTTCATATGCGCATTCCGCGAGATGACTGGAGAAGTACCTGGTGAGGTGTGCACCTCAGTCGGCAGCACTGGAGAACCTCGAAGTGAATTAGGTACAGAGCTTCAACGCATTAGCGACTTCACCAGCAAAATCGCCCGCCTGCACAAAACCGCGATTTCCCCAACAGGAAGATTCGGCTTTCCCGTCACGACATACGGGGGCAGACTTCCTCAAGACACTACCTTTTACGATACTTGGGAAGAGAGCTTTACACGTGGCATACAGCGGATGATCGATCTCGAAGAATTACAGCATGGCTATGACAAAGACATGGTACAGCTGCGCGCATTAATCGTGGAAAAGGCGATACTGCGATTGTTGCGGCCTCTAGAGACCGAAGGCAGGAGTATTTCAGCATGCTTGGTGCATGGCGATCTGTGGGATGGCAATACTGGAGTTGGCAAAGAGACGCAAGAGCCAGTGATCTTCGATGCATGCTCGTCATACGCGCATCACGAGTGTAAGCGTCACGATTTACGGTTTGACGGCCACTGACCGTAGCCACGAATACTTAGATGAGCTAGCTCCCTGGCGACTCAAGCGCCACAAGATCAGTGGAGCTTATATAGCCGAATACCTCAAGCACTACCCAGCTTCGGAGCCCAAGGAGGACTTTCGAGACAGGAATGCTTTGTATTGCATGTAAGTCTCGCTGATGTGACATACTTTGTTCAGTCGAGCTCAGCTGACGTCTTTATAGAAGGTTCAATCTTTGCTCGTCGGCTCTATACCCCGGAGAGCTCAAGTACCGTGAATTGTAAGATCTGTCGATATAGTTGAGAGAGACTTTACTAAGCTCCCGTAGTGTCAAGGATGAGATGAAGGCGCTCTTATTGAGTCTTTTCGGCGATCTAGAACATGCGAAGGCGTGGCAGGATACTGCAGTCACGGGATGGAGTGATCGACCGAGCAAGTTGTGATATATCTTGTTCTACTGGGATACGGAAATGTTACATCGTTAGATATGCAACCAAATGACACACAAAGTGAGCGCGACGTTTCGCATGGCGTTCAGTCAAGACAGCGGCCGCCATCGACCGGAGAAACAGGTAACTTGGATACGGGAGCGAAGAGAAAATTGATGACCAAAGCGACAGAAGAAAGCTCGGTGCGCAAAGAAACCCCTCAAGATCAAGCAGCCACTTAGTAGTTAACCTCTGACTCGCATTCGCCGCCATTGCCGATTTCAAGACCATCACCAGCGGCAGAGTGCAAAGCATCGGTAACGGTTTTCTTGTATGGCAAGCGGAGACCCAGATCGGGCTTGTCTCCGTCACCCCGCCAACACAAACCAGTTTACAATTCAACCGAGGAGTATCTCTTTCCATTCGCCTTTGCGGCCCAGGTACGCGCTGATACGACCAATTCCAACTCTTTGCGCAATATCGTCGCTCCAGACAATCATCATGGCGTTGAAAGCCGCGCAACTCTCGGATGTTGCTGCATCTGTGATGGCCCCGTTTTCGTCGACTCTCATAGCTTCGGAGAGCAAAATGAATTCATGCGTTTCGGCATCGCGCTTGGCCACTATCTCGATCCATGATTCATCCAACATGACCCAGCCACAGATTTGCGCGTTGTTGTCCAGCACCTCGAAGCGGCGCAGACCATTGCCCATGTTCTCTGCGTGGGGGCTGCTATAGCGAAGGACTGCCGACGGGTCCACCTTAATCCTACAGTGGATAGAAATTGTCCAAAACTGCAGAAAGCGAAAATTATCAGACACAGTCTCCGGCATTTGCTTCAAGCGCTCGAGCAATACTCCCGGTGTTGGCTGGGTTGTGTCGTGCGATGTTGGGAAGCGCGGGTTCTGCATCGCACTTTCTGAACGAACATCATGCGACCACACTGAATCACCGAGCTGTTTCGCAGGTAGATGGCAGTCAGCGCGTTTTGAGCTGTACCATACGATCCAGGTTCGTGCGACGGCCCAGGCGCTGAGAGCTTGCAGTTCGGACATCTCTTCCCTTCCAATCGTCCAGGCGTCATAACGGACCTTACCGATCCAGCCAAGCCATGACCAGGTTGGAAAGCCCTCACGCCTTCTCAAGCGCTCGCAGGGCTGCCACATCATTGCAAGATCAAGAAAGGCTACTGGAACTGCTTCCACACAACGTCCACGGTGAAGGCTCCGCAAGATCCCACTGAAAGCATCAAGAGCATCACCCTGATGAGATAGCACTCTCGATGTATATGCTGCCACGGCTCGACAATATGTACTCCATGGCTGTCTTGGGTTTGGCTGTATCTTGATCGATCGAGCTCCATAGAACGTAGCGGGCTCCATCTCCAGAGCTGGCCCGTCTATTACGTCTTCAGAGTATACTGAACTGTTGCACGAGAAGTATAACAGGCCGTTCGAGGCAAATATGAGTAAGCGATCTGTGAGTTGATACTCTTGGAAGCTAATCGTGCCAAACGTTAGCGAGGACCTTACAGCACAAGAAAGTTCTCTCCACTCACGTCCAAGCTCTCGTATTGTAAACTGAATCTTCCATGACATCCTTGAAATCGACGTGCGCTGAAAGTATGAGATTCGGTGAAAGCTTCTGATACCACTGCTTCCGCTTCCGGACGGCTGACACACCAGGAAGGCCCTCATTGGCGTTCGAACCCGATGCAGCAACAACCGTCAGAAGTGATTGAGCATATATGCGATCCATGTCTGCCAGGGTTCTTGGTCTCTTCATTTCCGAGTCTTGCATTACGCAGAGAGAGTCAACCCAAAGGAAGCGTTCGCCCAACATGTTAGTCAAGAGTACCGCATCTCGAACTGTCTTACTTAGGTCGCCGACATTAATTCCGCCCGCAGTCTTGAGGCGCTCGAAATTGTCTTCCTTCAATTTGAGTTGGTCGACGCCGCCCCATACGTAACTGAGGGCTAGATATCGGCACGGCGCAACAGGTTCGACGATGCAGTGCGAACGTGTGTCGACCAAATAGAAATATCGCGTCGGAATTCCACTCGAGGGTGACTTGCACAATGTATGCTGGGTATCGCAGTGCTGTAACCACCTCACCAGTTGAGTATAATCCAGAAATGACGTGGGAGGGTGAGTAAAACACCCGAAGTGTGGCTGACTTGGAAGCGCAGCGGATGCAGCTCGAATGAGGATTTTATATCCGCTGGGCGGAAGATCGGATGATACTGCCCACACCATGATATAGATAGTCGGGCTTCTTAAGCGTTTACTCCTCTCCGATCCGAGTGCGTTGATCCATTTCGCAAAGATAGCGATGGTGCTGGCATCGGCGATGCTAGTCACCCTCTTTGGCAATCCAAATCTGAAGACCTCATATATCAGCCGACAAAGTACACATCCGTCCTTTCTCTTCCCAACATCGCTCAGATAGCCAATCTCACGTATCGGGTCTTTCAACCGCTGGTTGTCATCAGTACCTGGATGCGAAAGGAAGCTTGCTAGATTGATACCAAGCGCGTTGCATAATGCGCAGAGCTCCATAGCCTCAGCTAAGTTGAGGAAGGCTTCACAAACACAGGAAGCTTCGTGGGTTTGCACAGCCTTCCCACCGGTGAGGCAGTGTATTCAGGGCGGCCAGTCACAACACACAAAAGCAAATCTGAGCGATCAGGCTGAAACCTGCAGAACGCCACTATTTTGGAACCCCTCACGTATCCCCAGTAAGGAAAAGACTCAACTCTCAGTATCATACAAACTAGAAAACGATTTTCCAATCTTATCGCATCCAGCACAGCAAACAACTGTATCGATGTTGCTGGCCATCGAAACGAAAACGTCCAGCTTGACGATCCGTATCCAGCGTTCCCCGAAGGCTCCAGAGAAGCCTTCAACATTCACCGATACATTTTCAGCAAAACCTTCCACACTCACCTACGCGAGTCCAGAGCAACCTTATACGCCCATCGAAGCATCTCTTCAAGAACCGTTTACACCCTTCGCCACCTCTCCACCAACCACGGAAAACGAATGGAACCATCCCAGGAGATACACAGAGAATGAAGGTAGAGCACGGCCCGAGGTATGCACAGCAATCAACATCGATTGTTCGGTTGAGCATTGCAGCCAATGCAACAAAGTCTTTAGTGGCAGGTATGCTTCGCCCCTCCATATTTTACTCGTCCAAAGTACTCCATGCGCCTAGAAAACATTGGAAATATTGACTTGATCAAACACAGGTACGCAAAAGGCAACTTGAAGCGGCATGTCAGTAGTTTCCATAGTCCGCTAGCGGTTGGCTTATCGACAGCTTGCCGCGTCTGTGAACAGGTGTATAAACGCACAGTCGCCACTCGTAAACACGAGTGGAAGAAACACCGCATACAAGATGCGAAGCCGAAGAAGAGGCTGGATAGACCTTCCCACCGGGTCATTCTGAAGGAATCTGGTGCTGGAAGATTGTGCTCGAAACTGCTCGGAATTGGCGACTCTCTTCTGTCCATGCGGCCTTCATCTGCTGGTATCTGCGATGTCACGAAGAGCTATGAAGTCCATGAGCTAGAGGGCAAACACCTCATCGCAGAGCTGGACGGAGACTCGGTGTCCGAATCCTACCTGGAAGATCCCATCACCGGCCACAGAGCCCTTGTTGCTGAGCGACATCTTTCTCCTCTCTTTCCGTGTTTAATGGGATTCACCCATGGTGCTGTTGCTGAACGAGCAGAGGGAGGATCCAAGACTACACCCACATCAGTTGCTCTCACACTTCAAGAAGACCAAGATGCTTGTGTAAACGGTTGGTCTGGCTGTATACCACATGAAGGCACGAGGCGTTCGGTGTCGATCGCAGACGAATCCTTGCCATGGTGGATTGCTAGTAACCATGTGTCGTCTCACCCGTCCCGTCATACGAATCTCACGCACGTCAACCCATTCGATGTCGAGTACAGCCCGAACCCGGTCTATTACGCCCAATCTCTTGGTCCCCGATCTATCCGCTGGATGCCACCTTGCGATACCAATAACTGCCTGAACAATTCATTCGAGCAAGGTAGTTGGGAGATGGCGATTCCCACGCACGTCAACCCCAACATATTCGGGTACAGGCCGAATCCGGTCTATTACGCCCCATCTCTTAGTAGCCGGTCTATCCGCTGGATGCCACCTTGCGATAACAATAACTGCCTAAACAATTCATTCGAGCAAGGTAGTTGGGAAATGGCGATTTCCGCGTCGCGCCGTGAAGCTATGAAGAAAACTCTTCTTACCCGATCAACTAAAAACCAAATGTCAAAACCGGAATGTTCAAACGATCTCGCGTCCAAGTCGTTCGAACAAGGTAGTGAAGAGCTGGCCATTTCCACGTCGCGTCGTGAAGCTGCGCTGAAGACCTTACCCTTCGCGGACCTTATTCGGTCAGGGTCACTCGAAGACGATGCCTTTTGCCAGTCAGCCTTCAGACTAGCCAATACGCGAGAGATCCTGAACAAAGCTAAACAACCGCGGTATCGATATCGACATGGCCGACTATCTGGATCTGGCAAGCGCCGTTTACAGCATGTTGCCTTTCCACCAGTGAAGTGCAATCACTGCCGAAGGCTATTTCATGGCGTCGATCGAAGGCGTAAGCTGGGTAGACATAGAAGAAAGGTCCATGAGTCCGACGTCTACGATATCCATAGCAAACGAGTCGGCACATCTCCCCGCAAATCCCTCTCAGGACACAGAGTCTATTCCATGACCAGACGTAAACCCTTCTCGTCCGAGCCCATACGCGTTCACTCGTCGTCTTCAGCCGTGACGCTCGCGTTATCCGATGATCTAAGCGTCTTCGATGATACGTCTTGGAACAGAGAACTCTCGCTCCGTAGGCCGATGGCAGTATCTATTGATGTCTTTTGGGGAATTGGATCCCAGAATGACACGTTAGATATTGGAGGCCATGTTCCCATAGTCACGCGACATGAAAGTCTGAGCTTCGAGAACCGCTTCTTCAAAGTGCCCACCACGCACTTTGAACGGTCAAAAACCACCATCGGGGTGAGCTCACATCCTCATAGAGAAGATGCCACGAGTATTTGCGAGCGCCAACGCCCTCTTCGGCATCGAAGTGCCAACGGATCTTTGCTAAGATCAAGACGTACTCTTGACCGCCACAAGATCAGGCGGACGAAAGTAGCAGAGATCGACCATAGCTTAGCTACTTACGGTACTACCACCCCCGCCTCATGGGCCCCTCGACTCAATTACTGTGATGATGACGGGTAGTCCCGAAAGTCTCAGCGATGGGAAAGCTCGAAGGGTGACAAAGCGCGTTATCGAGGCGCTGGGCGCAACAGCTGATGTGTTAGAAGGCAACCCCAGCTTCATTTCTGCAAGAGGCGCAGCTGAGCTGGCTTGGCGAGTGTTGAAGTTCAGTGAGGGGGTGGAATTGTGAGGTTCGACATCGCTGAAAAGGCCACCGGGAGCCTTTTTGGCCAGTCAGCTCTCATCTGACTTCGGAAGAACCCTCATATTGCAGCGAGGGAGCGGCGGCAATGGCATGGTGTACGTTCGAAGTGGGAGAAAGAATCTTATTCTACATAGTCTCTGGGATCTGAAATGGTGAAAGATCGAGATCAGTCGGTTCACCTAAGATCATTTGACTCATCAACTTTCCCGTGCCCGGTCCAAGTGTCAGTCCCCAAGACCCATGCCCCCAGCACAAGAACACATTTCCACGTCGCTCATCTGGATGATGGCCGTTATGACGCGAGAGTTTATCAGGCTCGACCAAAGCCATCATCGGGCGCCCTGAAAGCGTAACAGGTCGAAATGCCCGCCCAAGCGCAACGATCTCTAGCTCCTTGAACGCATCTGCATCGCCAGCATTGTGTACGCGAAGAAAACGGTAAGCGTGACCTGTGAGCTCCGCAATCCTTGCAGCATCTGGTAGACCCCTCGAGCCTAATGGAGGTAGCGTGCCCTTGTGATCCTTTGCTCCGCAAACCCAGATCGTGCCGTCGTTGCGACCTGCGAATTCCAACTTCTCTCCTACGATGTCATTTAGGCCCACGAAAGCCACCGAATTCTTCGCGACGGGATTCTGGTTTCGGAAG